ATATTATGTTGTAGTTTTAATTATGTTGTTTTGTGAAATCTAAATTAATATTAAACTCCCAAGGTTTTTGGAATACAACACTTTCCCCATAAATACACAAGTTGCTAAGAGGACTTTTTGGACTATAATGTTATTCTTGAACCCTTTTATACACTAATCTACGCATGTGACAGTGAATCATAAGTTCTGGGTATTTCATGATACACTTATTTCCTTATCAATGAGACCCCCCCCCCCCCCCCCCCTCCTGTATTGCTTATCTAGACGCACCAGGCTTCTGAGGAAAAGGGTGGCACCTTTACTCCTTAATCTCCGCAGCAGAAGGGAGCGGCTTCAGAGCGATAACTGCTGCTGCTTCTCAACCTGGGATTTAGTTTGCTCTAGTTTTTGTAAATATCTTTTTTTAATATCCCCAGTTTCTTTCCACCAAAGCAAGTGATGCTTAGCATGCACATTGGGTTTGGATTCACACAGTAGTGATACATACAGCAGTATTCATGTTCTCATAAGGGTTTCAGAGGAGCCTTTGAGTATGAACTTAATTGTCTCTAACCCTAAGAAGCACATGACATGTTTGACCCGCTGAGAAAAGGATGGAGGGGTTTGTTGCTCGTGTAAAATAAGCTCTATGTTCCACTTTCAGTTGTATCAGGCTATGTTCAGCAGAATAATCACATGTTTAAGTATCGAAACAAGTGATTCTTAGGCAGGCTGTGCAGTTCAGATAATTGAGAGAAAGACGCAAATGTGTCCTCTATGTGAAGATTAAAAATTGATGAAATCCTTTATCAAACCAAACAGTCGAAGCTTGTTCTGTACCGGGTGGGGTGAACATGGGATTTGACTTAATGAACAAGTGCCTTGTGGTCCAAAGGGCCTCCTGACCTCAGCCCATAGTCTCGTTGAATGACTTACTATTACACCTGAGTCCAAATGATGATTGAGGAGGGGTAAGTCTGCACGAACCACTGAGCCCAGGTGGTGCTGATATAAAGAACACTCATTTCACCCAGTCTGCCTTTTCTGGCATTGGTTTGTTTCAAACCAGTGCACCAACTTCTGAATGCTGCATGGCTAATCGTAGAAAAGGTCCTTCATATTCATCGTAATGTCATTTAGTCCGTACTTTGCTTTCTGATGCGGTAACATACTTATTGTATTCTGGTTAATATGATCATTCATTGGATAATATCTGTGATTGCTCTATGAAACGCTTTGCACAGGTTCACTGACGCGTAACATGAAGATAACGTGTTGTGCTGTTTTGGATTCACAGCTCTTTGCTGTCAACATTTAGTGAGTTGCTAAATCGAGCATTAGCATGGAAGAACTTAAAATGTTGAGATCTGGGCTTCCACCCTAATTATTGACTCAATGAAAGTACAAGCTTATCAAACCTGTGTTACAGTTAATGAACACGTCTGACTCTGCTGCGCTTCCTGTCAGCAGTTACTCATAACTTTGGAAGGACTTCTGTACCACGTTAACTAATGTTACTGATGTTCTTATTCTTTACTAGGATCCCCATTAGCACTAGCATGAGCATTAGCTATTCTTCCTGGGGTCCTCACACACACAAAACATACATAAAACATACAATGTTAGGCTTCCTCTTTGCCTTATACCCACAACTATTTGACTGGCCTCTGGCTGATCACCCATAGAGCAGAATAAAACAATTAATGCATTTTGATATTTGCTTTTTTATAATTTATAATTTCTTAGTCCTTTGTTGGAAAATGAGTACTAAAACTATACATTTTAATTTGTAATCTAATGGGCCGTTTCTAGCTTTTTGGGGGCCCTATGCAAGATGCTGTTTGGGGGCCCTAGGGTGCGTCTCACTTCGGTTATTTTTCATTTCCTCGCTCCTCGGGCTCGGTATCACCGGAAGTTGATTTTTCTGCGCCATCTTGAGTACCGTCCCAGTGGCCTTATTTTTGCCGGAGGATCGAGGAGTGATAACGGAGGAGCGATAATCGAGGAACTACCAGACCATCCTCCGGTGAAATCCTCAGATACTCGCTCCGCCCCCTTACTGTGTATCGCTCACTGATTGGACGATGCAGTGCATGCACTGTTCTGGCTGCTGTCAGACAATCAGCTGTGCGGCGTCATCACAAACGGATGTCGCTTCACGTGACGCTCCGGAGGAAACAACGTCCCATTGCTCTTAAAACTAATTTCCCTGCTTCTCGAGGTTTCCTTGTGTCTCTCCATGCTTCCCTGGTGGGAGGGACTAAACGATAGATTGTATATATAAATGGACGTAGGGTTCGTGACGTCACCCATAGGATTCTTCAGAGTTGCCGAGAAGCCCTTAGTAGGCGGAGTCGGCCACTAACGGCTCGACAGTGACATCAGAGTTCAACTCCCGCCTGCTCCAAATAAGGGCAAAGAGGCGGAGCCGAGGCGGGACCTCCTGCCACCGAGCTGGAAGTTCCAGAGCTAGCTGAAGCTACCAAGCTAAGCTAACATGCTCCCCATCTGCACACTGCCATGGCATTTTACATTTCTAAGGTAAGCGGACATGAAACTATTCAGCAAAACTATAAATAATAATCTAAGTTATTGAGTTTTAATATAATACTTCAGAATCTTAAAATCCCTTAACAATGCAATATGCAATTGTGCTAAATTCAACTCTGGAATCAAGAAAATATTAATATGTTTGCATGACATTAGTTATATTTTGATATCACTTAACTATACGTTTAATACATTTAAGTCAAGCTAAGCTACATGTGATGGTAGCTAGTTAGTGCTCTTACCTGTGAGGCCTCCTCCAAACAGCATAATAACCAGACTGTATCATTAAAACTAAGTACCAGTTCTAGATCCTTGACTTTAGACAAACAATTCAAAAGATAAAATGTATTTAAAGACCAATCTTTATTTGAATGTGCCTCTTAACCTGAGATATTAGTTATACAGTAATAGTATTGACAATCTAAAAAAACTGAGCAACTCAATAGTCAACTTTATGTTTCTTATTGTCTAAAGCATTTATTATTTTCATTTTCCCCCTCTCATATTCAGTGTGGACGGATTGAGACAGCATGGTGTCCAGAGAGCTGCAGACTTCAGGGAGAAACCTCCGTGTGATGGACGGATTGAGACAGCGTGGTGTCCAGAGAGCAGCAGAGACTTCAGGGAGAAACCTCCGTGTGATGGACGGATTGAGACAGCATGGTGTCCAGAGAGCTGCAGAGACTTCAGGGAGAAACCTCCGTGTGATGGACGTCCTGTCTGTTGGTTTGAAGAGGACTGAGGGTCTTTCCTCAGCGAGGAGGACCAGGCCTGATGGAGGAGCCCATGCTGGGCAAAGCTGATACCAACTGCACAGGCCTAGTCTGTCACTTTATTTGACTAAATGTGTTCACTTATACATTTAATAGGTTTACACCTTCTGTCCATATGTGCTTTTTATTTAAAACATGTTTGATTAACTTTTGGTTCACATTTCAATAAATTGTATTTGTATTTGCACTCCTTTTGTCCATTATTCTTACTGAAAATGTTAGATTACACATTCACATCTGACTGAAGATTGGTCCCATTTATTTGTGACGTTGCAAACTCTGCGGTACAAGGCACAAGTGATGTGAAGCTCATAAAGTGAGGCAAATAGAAATAATCAGCTGATGGAGTGTAGCTGTGGAAATAGCTGCATTAAATCAGCTGACTGTGTTTTCACAATAAAAGTAGTTTCTTAGTGAATGTCCTGTACTGGTCTTAACATCTCATAACATCAGCTTTTAATGTTCCTCTTGGATGTTCTTCTTGACCCTCAGAGAAGGAGAACATGTTGTGTCTTTCAGGCATGTCCTTTCCTAACAAAAATGACAGGAAACATAAAACATATTATTGCAGAACAAGTGTGTTATTTATGAAAGCGGTGTGTTTGTGTGTTTAGGGGCTGTAGATATCATTATTTTGTAATTGTAATGGTTTTTTTTTAATTTCAACAATGAGCTACAAAGACAATCAGATTATGAATAAACACTATGAAGTTCATCAACATTGAAATATATGTTATTATCAAAATAATATTTAACTGTTATCAAAACGTAGTGCTGCTGTAGAAGCTTGCTCTGTTGTCTCACTGAAAGAATCACTTTTACCACGTTTTTTACAGACAATATTGAGAGATAAATAGTAGCAGTTCTCACTATGTGTTAAATATCTTTGCCTTCAATACATTAAATTAGAAAGCTGACAAAGTAATATTGCTTGTTAACAATAACATCTAAATGTAACTTTTTGCATGGATAAAACCCTCAACTTAACTGATGTGTAGGTGATCTAGTATTTAGTATTGTTTAATGGAATGTATATCAGTGTATTAAAGTCAATACTTCATTCATTTAAACCAATATCTTTCTTGATTCTTTGTACAGTATGAAAAAAAGAGTCTTTGTACCTGAGCTGAAGTTCACTGCTGTGAGGAGTCCAGTTCTGTCTCTCACTCTCTGGTCCAGCCTGTCTGCATCACCTGGACACCTTAAACAAACAGATATATATGTAAAGTACCATGTGTACAAACAATATAACTGATTCTCTTCTGTTGAACATGTTGGATTGTGTATTGTCCGAGTCAGGGTCCTTTTTATTTCACTGTAACTTTGGAAGTTGTGTTACCAATGCTTACTGTTTATTTGATACCCATTTGGTAATGCAATTAATAAAAACAACAAGGTTTGGGTTCGTTCTTCAGATGACTGTGACGTTAACGTGTAAGCTCGATAATGAACTCCAGCTCAACCAACCATATTGTAATATCTAAGTAATCATCTTGAAATATGACATTAATATTTGTAATATACACACATCTTATTGTGAGGTTGATTTCACATACACTACTTCGACATTAGCTTGTCTACATACTTGAGCATAGCCGATTTAAATTAACCTTAGCGATGCATACAGTTCCTACTGTGACAACCCTGTGGTTGTCCACCAGTTGGTGCTGCTGTAACCTGTGTGTTTGTTTTAATCAGCAGTGATGGGACCCACCTGTGGCGCTGATTCCAGGATATAAGAGGGCTGCAGAACAGGCTCTCGCTCTCTCTCAGCTGCCCTGCTCGGTGCATCAGGACACCGCTCCTCTGTTCTGTTTTATTGTTGTTGTAACCACTGTGTTGGTTAAAATAAATGATTGTTTTGGGCAACTCCGGTGTGGAACTGTTGTCCTTATGTTACAAGCAGAGCCAGCTTGTAATATATGGGGGCTCGTCCGATCCAAGAACCAGGTGATAGTTGTTTACTTGATTTGTTTGCCTTGATTGTGTAGACAGTTTGTTCCTGGTGTAGGGCATTAAGGAGTAGCTTTGGAATTACCTTTCCTGATAGGCATAAGCAACATCTCCTTCAGGGGAGCTTGTTGGTTTGTTATTTTTGTTTGTTGTTTTTGTGCATAAACATGATTCGACATTTTTTTGTCATGGGTACACGTCCGTGGCTGTCTTGGTGAGTAACAGCTTCGCTGGGGCTTTACCAGGTCATTGGGTAAGTGTTTAAAACACCTGTCGTGGCATGCATGAAGACTAGGGTGAGACAAGATAGCTAGTATTGGGTAGGCAGTTAGCTAGGGGAGAGGTATTCCAGAGTGAAACAAAAAAAAAAATATTTTTAGGTGTCTGTGCACCGGGTTCAAGGGAGTTTGCAGAATCATGGCTACATTAACAGATTTTGTGAAGTGTCCCAGTGTGGAACTACTGGAAAAATGTATTAAAGACCAACTGTTAAAAATTGCAGATTATTTTTAGGTAGACGTTCCAAAGCAGGGTCGTAAAGACACCATAGTGACTACGTTACAGGCCCAGTTGATACTGCCAGCAGTGGCTGTCGATGATGGCTCTGAGGAGGAGTTGACGAATGCAGCTATAAATCCAGAGCGTCAGAGAAGTGCAGGTTTTTCTTTGTTTGACTTTGGTGAAATGACATTTGAACAGAGAAAGGAAATAATGCTGTTGCAGTACCAACAAGACAGTGAACGTGAGGAACGAGCAAGTGAACGTGAGGAACGAGCAAGTGCTCGTGATGACCGGGCTAGCGCTTGTGAACAGGAAACTGAGAGAGCGTTTAAGGTTAACTACAGTGGTGCGGGAAGCTGAATTGCAACAAGAGCGTTACAAGTTGGACCTCATCCAAGAGGGTAAGCTTTCTTCTGGGGTGTCCCCAGCTACTTTTGATGTAGCTTATAACTTGAGGTTGTTACCGAAATTCGAAGAGAAGACTGTAGATTCTTTTTTTGGACTTTTTGAGTGACTTGTGGTCTGATTCAGAGAAAACATTGCTGTTACAGTGTGTGTTAACTGGTAGGGCTCAAGAAGCATTTTCTGCATTAAGTATGGCTGACAGTGAAGATTACTTAAGGGTAAAGACTGCAGTGCTAAAAGCTTATGAGTTGGTGCCTGAGGCCTACCGTCAGCAGTTCAGGAAGCTAAGGAAGTCAGAGGGACAGACCTATGTGGAACTTGTTCGGGAGCTGACGATGAAATTTAATCGGGTCACGGCTTCCGAAGTAGTAAATCTTAATGATTTGAGGGAGCTGTTCCTTCTTGAACAATTAAAAGATATTCTTCCAGAACGCGTTGCTACGTACATGAATGAGAATAAGGTTAAAAATGTAACAGACTGAGGGTGTTAGCTGATGAATACACGTTAACACACAAGATTCATTCAGGGGAGCGATTTGACTGGGGGAGCAGAAATAACTGGTCTGGTGACCCCAGATGTACAGTAGATCCAAGTACTTGCTACTTTTGTTTGGGTAAAGGACACCAGAAAAAGGAATGCCCAGTACTTGCAAAAACCAAGGGACTCCAAAATGTTCAGTTTCCCAGGCCTGTTGCCCTTGCAGCTTCTCCCCACAAGGTTGCTAGGGATGAGGCTATAGCTGCGGTTAAACTCTATACTACCCCGCAACCAGTTGCTGCTGCGGTTTCTAACTACGGACCAGCCCTGCAAGAGGTGAAGCCTCGCCCCTCCCAGTTGGCAGATGAAATTGATCCAGGGTATGCCCCTTTCCTACGAGAGGGTTATGTGTCTTTGCAAGGAAGTGAAAACAAATTCCTTGTTAAGATACTGAGAGACACAGGTGCTATCGATTCATACATAACTGAGGGTGTTCTTCCATTTCCCTCTGTAACGGACACTGGAAGTGGTGTCTATAACATCAGGAAGATACGTCCCCAGCTGACACAGAAAGCGACTCAGGTTCTGGTCCAGGCTCTCGTCATCTCACGCCTAGACTACTGCAACTCCCTCCTGGCTGGTCTACCTGCATGTGCCATCCGACCTCTGCAGCTCATCCAGAATGCAGCGGCTCGTCTGGTCTTCAACCTTCCTAAATTTTCCCACATCACTCCGCTCCTCTGCTCCCTTCACTGGCTTCCGGTAACTGCTAGAATCCACTTAAAGACACTGGTACTTGCGTACCATGCTGCGAATGGATCTGGCCCTTCCTACATCCAGGACATGGTTAAACCGTACACCCCAGCACGTGCACTCCGCTCTGCATCAGCCAAACGACTCGCTGCACCCTCGCTGCGAGGGGGACCCAAGTTCCCATCAGCGAAAACACGTGGGTTTGCTATCCTGGCTCCAAGATGGTGGAATGAGCTCCCCATTGACATCAGGACGGCAGATAGCTTGCACATCTTCCGGCGCAAACTGAAAACTCATCTCTTTCGACTCCACTTCGAGCGATAGATTTATTAACGAAGCACTTTTATACTAATAAAGGACTGGATTATCTAAAGCCAGTTGAGTAGCACTTGAAATGTTTGGCTCTATGAAACCTGATGTACTTTATGATTCTGTTTTCTTCAAGGTCGTGTCTTCCTGGTCGAATGTACTTATTGTAAGTCGCTTTGGATAAAAGCGTCAGCTAAATGTAATGTAATGTAATGTGTATTGTTCAAGGGAATGGGGATGCAGTTGTCTGCTCCAAAGCATCGGTTGGTGTTGTCCTGTGATTTACGGCAGGGTGAGGTTGCCATGGGAGTCCGGCCATCTTTGCCTGTTCCGGGAGTGGCAGTCATCCTCGGAAATGACTTGGCTGGCGGCAGAGTGTGGCCTGATGTGCCTCTTTCACCAGGGGTGTCCTCTAAGCCAGTGAGGGGCGAGCTTGCTGACCCTGAGAAGAAGCTGACAAAGGTAGTTCCAGCTTGTGCAGTAACTCGAGCCCAGACCTATAAAGCACAAGATAAAAAAGTCATTTCTGAGAATATTGTTTTGGCGCTACCTGTTGTTCCATTGTCTTTCTCTCGTAGTGAATTGGCAAAGCAGCAGCAGGAGGATACAACTTTGCAGGAGCTTTTGTCCCAGGTTCACCCCAGTTTACCAGCCCCACTGAGGAAAGTCATCACCAAAGAGTCCGGCGTGCAGGTGAATGTCAAAGTGGATAAAACCGTGCAGTGCTCGCTGGGTCCTAATACAGACAAGAAGCTAGCAGCAGTCACTTGACAGTAGTGTTAATTTCGTCAGCTATTTTTTTTATTTAGTTTTAGTCTTAGTCCTGTGTTAAATTTCCTTTTTAGTTTTAGTCAGCTTCATCCTGTTTTTATTTAGTCGACTAAAAGTCTGAGCATTTTAGTCAAAGAAAACTAATTATTTTAGTCTACTTTTTGTCAATGAAAACGGTTGCGTCTTTTTTAGTCATCAGATTATATAGAACATTTCAGTCAAACTAGTCCAGCCAAAACCAATCATTTGTAATTTTAGTATATATAAATAAATAAGATTATGTCTTGTCCTTATTTGATGAAAAACACAGGTTGAATGATTAAGAATGCAGCTTTGCAGAGAGGATCTGCTCAGGTTTGTGGTGTTTTTACCAGCTGTGTTATGGCCACATTGCTTCCCTTCTGATGAAATGCATTCGCTTTTTTTCTCCGCCTCATTGTAGCGAAAATGGGCCCAAATATCACATCGTTTCTTTCTCCCAAGCAGTGGTGGCTTTAGACTTTTTCGTTGTCAGTAATTTTGACGGACAGGATTGTAACATTTCCGTCATAATCCATTACCCGTCAAGTACACAATTTATCACTCACTCGCGCTGACGGGGGGTCTTCGGTTAACGCGAGTGCGACCACTGCTCCCAAGCCCTGTTGCCATTTCATTTTCTGTTAAAGAAGGTTAGTTAGACCATGAGTTAGACCCGAGTCTTCCTGACAGTTCAGTGTGCCGCTGCACGGTGTAATTCAAATGTACCGCCGCGCGCAGCACAGACACACAGCTGCTGCCCAGCCGCAGCACCGGAAATGGTGGGAGAAAAACTGACTATCAGAGACGTAACATTATCTTTGATAATATGTCGTCTCTTCATTTTTCGTCAACGAAAGTAAAGAGAGATTTTGGCATAGTTTTTATTTAGTAAACTACATTTTCGTCTCGTCACTTTTCGTCAACGATATTGCATGTTGATTTCGTTGCAGTTATTGTTTACTGCCGTCTCGTTTTCGTCATGGAAAAAAAGGTCGTTGACGAACATATTTCGTCATAGTTTTAGTCAACGAAATTAACACTACTTGACAGAGCCGTCACTCAATGTGACCATGCCCTAATTTATGCAAACACTTTAAGACCTAATATAAATAAAATGTTAAACAATTCACTCACAGATCCATAATCATGAAGGTGGAATCTAACTATATTCATAATATCTATTGCATCCTGTGGGAGTTGGAGTGGTCTGAAACCCACCTCGGCTCCGCGTGTCGTTTGGTGAGCTGGGTCAGAGTTATAAAGGAAGGAATTCAGAGCACCAGAATAAGGGTTAAACAATAATCTGTTTTTAATGATAAACAACAATACAATACACTTTAAAGGGGACGCCACTTGCTCTGGTCCGCTTGCCGGGAGATCCCATCATCTGGACCAGGGCCGTTTCTAGCTTTTTGGGGGCCCTATGCAAGATGCTGTTTTGGGGCCCCTAGTTTTTACAGTTTTTACACACTCACACACACCATGTATACATCACTTCAGGGGACATTACATTGACTTGGCTTTTAAACAATCAAAAATGTGAACACTTTTAACTGTATTAAGGTATGATGATATTTCATCTGTTTGCATGTTTGTTTGTTCCTCTCTATTGTTGTACTGATGTTGTCTGCTGTACTCTATTTAATTATGTTTTTATTTCCTAGTCTTGTGGTCATTTAACATCTTGCCAAGGATAACAGTTGAAAATTAGCCTGCTGGCTAATACTGGCTCATTTACAGCAATGTGAATTAATGTGCACTGTCCTTTAAATAAATAAACAAACAAACTTACATGCATTTCCTGGAGACTGATCCTAACCTTAACCATAACCAACACATGCCTAACCCTTAACCTTAACCTTACCCTTAAGTCTTCACCCTAAAATTAATGATTCCCCTTATGGGGACCTCCAATTTGTCCCCACACGTGACTATGTAAACAGAGTAGCACCCATTATACTATTATCACTGTCAAGATCTGTCTTTATTGTATTTTGTCTTGTCTTTTTCTGTCTTTTGTTTCATGTTTTATTTGAAAGGTCTTCACCTCCTGACTTGCTTGTTTCTGTCTGTTGTGTTTTGTCTTGTCTAGATCTGTCTTTGGTTTTCTGTCTGCATTGTGTTTTGTCTTTAGATCTGTCTGTGGTTCCCTGTCGTTAGTTTCCCTGGTGTGTCTGATTACCCGATTGTGTGCACCTGGTGTCCCTGTGTTTTCTCCTCCCTCCTCACCTGTGTCTTGTTTGTGTGATTAGTCTTGTGTGTATTTAAGTTCTGGTTTTTCTGTCTTTGTCGGTTCGTCTTGTGTTTTGACTTGGTCTTCGGTGAGTGTTCTGTTCTGTCCTTGTGAATAGTTTAGTCTTGAAATAAAGGAGTTATTTTTGACACTTTAATCTGCATTTGGGTCCTGCTTCCTACACACACCGTAACAGTTACACTTTAAGAGGAAAACAGTCTAATTTCACAAAAACCAAGCAATTGAAACTTACAACAAATTATATTAAAAAGGTAAACAATAAGGCTCCTCTACGTCAATAAATGCAAGAGATGCAGCATTTTCTCAACAATGTGACAGCCCAACAATGATTTGGACTTTATTGATCCCCACACACACAAGCCACAGCTTTGCTATCATTGCAGTTTAGTTGTGTTTATATCCTACATTTGATTTTTAAGCGTATAATGCTTCACCAAACACAGGAGGGGGCTTGGCTCTCTACAAATAAAGACGGCTCACTTGAATTCTCCCCAAATATATTGAGGCTGAACCTGAACTTTCAGCTTGGGGGGCCCCTAGTGTCCGCAGGGGCCCTATGCATCTGCATAGTCCGCCTATAGGAAGAAACGGCCCTGCACAGAATGTCCTAACTAACCATACATGCATTTCCACAAGAGGAAACATATTTCTTCTTATTTTTATTATTATCATAATAATGATACATTTAATAAATAGAGAACATTTTTATACAAATGGTGACACATTTAAAGAAAGCTCTTATTGGTACCAGTTACAGTAAACAACGTTGTGTCTTTAAAAGAGTACAGACTGAAGAACATGTGCATGCATCAAATGTGCGTTTCACATTATTTCTCATAAGGTTTATAGCCTGACTCCGGCCCGTTACAGGGAAAGGCTGTGTGAGGTCAGTAGGCGTGTCGTGGTGGAGCTCGGGGAGGAGAGTATCTGACAGTGACTGATAAGTCGCCTCACAACACCACATTGTATCAGACTTGAAGCATCTGCTGGAAGTCAGAAGACCCTCACACAACTCTGCTGATCTACACAACTTCACCAGGTGAGGACTAACAGACGAACATAGATTTATAATAACAACTTTACTTTTCTGTCTAAAACTACAGCTGCTGGATTAGTGTCTGCAGGGAAATACTGCATTAGTTGACAGTCAGATTCCAAGTGTTATTAACTCTCAAGTATGACAAGCCATTTGAGTATTTATTCCATATCCTTGATATCAGACGGCAGCTGCCTACACTAGTTGGCTCTTTGATTTCACTTGTTAGATATATGGTCAAACTAGTTTGTCACTCTGCTTTATTATTATAAAACATTACACTAGTCGCTCTTTTTCAGCAACTAGTGGCCCTTTTGTCCGACTAGTTACCACATAAGCCTTACTAGTGACGCCAGGAGCAGCACTAGCACCAAAGTCCCAACTTGTAAGCTTTTTGATGAACTAGTGACCCTCTGACCGTACTAGTGACGCTAAAAGTCTTACAAGTTAACTAATGCGCTGCAAAAGCTCT